CTGCTTTCTATCAATTTTAATAATTCATTTCTCTATTTAGTTTTATATTTTTGGAAGCTTTCATTTTTGACTCTTCAAGAGTTTCTTTTAAATAAGTGTGCTAATATTTTCAGAATTTATAGAACTTGTAAAATAAGGAACTAATTCCTTGTTTGTTTGTTTTTTGTTGTTTTGTTGTTGTTTTTTTGTACAAGAGCAGGACAGAAACTGAATACAGAAGAGGCCATTTAAAAAAATGATGAATGCATATTTCGTTACTGTTCAAAAACTGTTCTAATAATGGCCTCCCAGTGGTCATTTCTGTATCTGGGCAGACATGTTAGGAGAAAGACAGGAGGCTGAAATCTATAAGAGTGGATCAATATGTCGCAGAGGTTGTAGTGGGCACCACAGCTGCCACTGTTGAGTAAACAAGCTCAGGAGAATGATTGTCCTCCGAGTCAAGAATGACCCCAGTCATGATGTAGAATTGATTTTGTTCTCCTTTTGTTTTGCATGCATTATTGCTGCAAGTGTGAGTTTGTGTATGAGAGTGTTTCTTTATGGCGTGACTGCTATCAGAATCCCTCCAATGTAAAGAAGCACAAAAATGCAGAAAGGAGAGGGGGGGGGGGGGGGGGGGGGGGGGGGGGACAACTAAAAACAGGCAGGCTTCAGTTCTTTCTCCCATCCTCACACAGGAGATTGATGGCAGCATTCAGGTTTTCTACACGCCACTAATTGGATTCACAGGTCATTAGATAAAGTAGACAATTGAGACTGCTCCAGCTTAAAGACTGGGGCACATAGACAAGAAAATGGAGAAGGGTGCAAGAGGGGCAATATTGATGAGGTTGCAGGGTTCAGGACCAATAAAATTTTTCCCCTCTATACTCTGCCTCCAAAGCTCTATTACATCTTGTGCGGGGTGGGGTGGGGTGGGGGGGGGGATCAATAATTTGTGTGGCAAGAAAAGGTGGGGGATGGAGAAAGAGGTGAGGAAGGATGAGAAATAAAAAGAACAATGTGCAGTTTCATTACATGAATCACAAGTTGCCCTTTGCAGCTACTATTAAATATATCACTGAYGGCACCAGTCATTTAGTCCACAAACACTTATTTTATTTCAAAAAGGGGCCAAACACACCAAGCTGCGAGTCAGCCGCCTGAAACATCTAGAAACACGTTTGTCTCTTTTTTTGCGCTCAACACGCTGTCAGATCAGTCAGCCCCCTTTTTCCAGTCATGAAACCAGCATGGGGTCTGTCAACAGGAAAGATCACTTTGATTATCTTCTTACTGCAGTAAATGAACAGTGTGCGACATTAATGTGAGACTTGAGGTGTTATTTTTATGCATGCGGCTGGCACGCTCACTAAAAACAAAACCTATACGATACATTTGTTCACACAAATCACACATTATTCACTTTTAAAAATAACACAAATGTGGTCACGTAACGTTTTATATGAGCAAATATTTCTCATCTATTCTGACCCACAAAGGACTGGCTTCGTGCACAGGCGCTGCCTTTAAGCACATTTTTCCCCAGATGCTGGCTGGCAACTTAAGGAGACACAGCAGGAGGTCACCGCTGGTTCTTGATGTTGGTTTGGCATGTGAGAACCCTTAAACACATGTCTGTAATTAAGTCTGGACAGAAATGTGGCAGCGCAGACTTCAGCTGAGACAGCAAGGTAGTAGTTTTCACCAGCATCTACAATGCTGAACTATCATCCTAATGAAATTATTTTATGGTATATTACTAAAATTAGGAGTTTTCACTGCAGCCAGTGCAGTAGCAGGCYTTTGTGATTCGCTGCCCTGTGACAAACTGAGCTCAGTAAAAAACACTGTACTTGTTTAGAAAGCCAGCGGGGCTTGTTGTTTTAACATTAGAAGACAAGAGTGCAGTCTGCTCACACACATACACACATGCAGATGGCTGGTCATTAATTACAGATGGACTGGGGGAGGGAGTAACAGAGACACGGACACAGAGCTGAAGGGAGAGGTCAAGCTAATGCAGCTAGTTTTTCTACCGTTCTCCCTGGACGTTCACCTCCGTTTGCCCCACACCACGCTGGTCCTTCTTAATCACAGCGACGATGCGTGGTTTTTTTTTTTTTTTCCTTGTAAGACTGTGTCTGCATGAGAAAAAGATTTCTGCCATCCTCAGCATTCTCCAGCTTCAATCGGATTAAAACCTCACTGCTGTAGGGCACGACTGCACGGCCCACAGCTCACCTTAAAAACTCAACTGCCCTTCATTCACAAACACATTTGCACACACACAAATGCATGCACAATCACTTGCGCACGCACATCATACATTTAGTTAGCATTTCACCTTTTAAAAAGCTGTGTAGGTGACAACAGAGCTGACTGTGGCTTTTGGCAGCAATTAGTTCGGCCCTGGGGCTTAGACGCCACCTACTAAGTGTTTTGTGCTCTGATTAAACACTTAATCTCTTACAAGACAGAAAATTCTCACTACAGCTTAGCTACGCCTTCATTTGACAACATGAACATATACTTATGCCACTCATTTTTGTCACTAAAAAAGGCAGCTACATTACTCAAACCTCAACCCMAAAAAAATTGTTGGAAACAACACAAAGGACATTAAAAACAAACCTTAAATGTAGGACTTAATTACAATGTAGAATTTAATGTAGAATTTAATCCAGCCAGAAAAATCGAAAGAAAAAATAAACTTAAGTAGGACCTCTGGATGGGTTCTTTATTGAAACGTTTGTTTCAGGTAAACTCTGCAATATAAGAGCTGCCTCCACATGGTGGACAAACAGATTTAATGAACATTTTAGCACAGGCCATACAGAGTATTGCTTATCGGCAAGTGGCTTTTAACCCTTTTCCATTTTTGGTTCATGTTTTTACCATTGTTACCTTTCAGAACATAAAAAAGGATGTATTAGTTTTCAGGTTAGTGCTATGCAGATGTTTGTCAGCCTGAAATGCTAATTTTGTTCTTTTTGTTCACAATCAAAATGGGGGATCATCAGCCTAACAGATTGTTAGTACCCTGAATATCCCTATTGTTCATGAATATTTTATCAGTTAAGAATCAACTATGGGCAGAAAACGCACAAAAAAGCAACCCGTTATTAACAACAGTATAAAAACAACTAGCTCTTAGATCATTATTGTACCTTACTTGGTAACACGCCTGTCACGATAAACATAAATACTGTTTGAAGACTAATGTAAGGAAGCTTATGAAAGCTGCGTATGTAAAAAATTACGAACTGACCTTAGGACACTTAAAGTTTACGAAATTTACATAAAGTTACRAACGAACTGGGAGCGAAGTTAGCAAAAACAACACATAACAGCTACTGAAGCTGTAACATCACTACCTACCACTGTCAAAGTCAGCAGAATTTTTTTGTGTGTCTTCCTCTGGATTCATAACACAACTGAGGTCACACTTACGATGTTTACRATGTTTACAAAGTTTAAGGAAGTTCACAAAATTCACACAGCGTAAAAAGAAACAAATCTCTCTGAACCCAAGTGTTTCGCCAGCTGAAAGAAGGCATCGGAAAACCTGAAGATGCTCCTCTGCCTAAAGGCCTGTTCACGGCGCTCTCATGCTACAAAGGTTAGAGATAGGACTGCAACTAACGATTATTTTAATAATCGATTAATCTGTTGATTATTTTTTCGATTAATCGGCCAAATCACTAAAACGCTTAATTACATGAATRTGAGTAGATATAAATTAAGTTAACTCCTTAAGGATGCAAGTTATCGATTAATAAATTAATCTGAAGTTGATTTATCTTATAGATTGATTAACAATTAATTAATAAGCAGCCATTTTTTCTAAACTGGAGTTTTCTCTTGAATCAAGATGGCCTTTCCATAAAAATGAAGGATTTTTCATAATCTCCTGAATTAAAAAACAGAAGCACATAATACACATTTTAACAATTTATTTTGCCAGCTGTATTAAATACTGACTGAAAAAATGTGTATTTCTCCTACATGAAACATAACAGAAATTTAAT